AAATCTGGAAGGAGGATCAATAAAAGTAAGTAAAATCTCCCACTCATTGCAAAGACCACGTCTGGAAGTAAAATTAAGTAAAAACGTGAACACACACACAAACACACACACACACACACACACACTCACACATGTACTCATATACATGCACCCACACGAACACACACACATGTGTCTTTCTGGTGGAGACTTCTCATCAGGGACCTGGTTATGTGCAAATGAAAAAAAGGTGGAGCTTCATAAGTAGAGTTTGAAGGGTGATGACCTTCTCACACCAGAGTGTGAATGATGACCCTAAAGAAGCAGGAGAACCATGACAGGCTCCAATGATGGTGACAGCACAGGGCTGACACTGGACTCACTGAGTCTCTTGTTGGGGTTCTAGAAGGCCCCGTGACTATCCCCTCTTATCCTTATTTGAACTCAGAATAATTTCCAAGGAAGACCTAGGAGCCTGATGAAATGGAGATCAAAATACCAGTTTGATGTTGGCAAAAGGGTCTGGAGACTATGGCATAGGCATAAAGGCTGAATGAGTGGGCTAGAACTCCACTGAAATAAGCTACTCCCCCAAACTGTGGGCCTCTTCTGCTGGGCTTACCATCCAGTGGAAAGAGCCCAGAAGGCTAGCTCTCTGCAGGCAAGCAGGTCCTGAAGGGTTCCTCCTCCCAGACTCAGCAATCAGATCAGTTACCTTGGTTCCCCATCGAGGGGAAGGAGGAAGCAATGGGGCAAGAAGGCAGAAGTATTTCTCCATGGATATCTCTTTACATTGAAAAAGGAAGAATGGGAAATAAGTATCCTCACTCTGGCTACCCTCAGTGGGCACTGCTATCAGCCCAGCCGCAGGACGATGTGCTGCAATGAGAGGCTTACTGGCCTAGAGACTGGCAGGAGGCATCATAAGATATTATCAGGCTGTTGTGTCCTCCTCATCCTTCCTCTGACACTTCTCCCTTCCTGGGCCTCTGCATTGCACTAGGAAGGATTGAGATCAACAAACCTGAACATGTTTTGGTTTGAGGTTTGGCAAATTCTGGGACTCCAAAGTATTCCACAAATGTTTTGTGTTCTGCAAAATCAAAAAACATTGGCTGAGCGTTTTTCCCCTAATTTTTAAGCCCATGTGTTTTGAAAGGAAATGTAATCCGTATGTTTAGGGTACATTTATATGCAACTCGTCAAACCATGCTCGTCTGTATGAGCCACTCAATGCCTAAAAGGCCTGGGGAGGATCATGGATTCATAAGAACTCTGTTAGCAAGAGAAAGGCAACAGATGAGGCACAGGCTGGAAGGTGACAAGCTGGGCTTTGATATTGGCACAAATCACCAGAAGATTTACAGATAATCCCCTAGATCCTCGCCCATCAATCCGGCCCATCTGCACAAAGGCATCAATCATTCTCGCCCTCATCAGATCCTGCAGGCAGCTAATGATAATTAAATTGGGATAATCAAATAATTTGAAGCTTTTCAAAGAGAAAATACAAGGGCCTCAACAGTCGTATTTTAGTCCAGCTTCCCAGAGTGCTGGGAGACAAAAATGGTTTCTACCTTTAATGACCATTCTGGCCCCATCATGACACAGGTTTGCAGTGTCATTGTTTCACAGTTTCACCTGCCAGCAAAGTTCAGCCTGACTTCCTACAAAGTCCTGGGGAACAGACAAAGAAGGGCAGAGTACTAGTATATACAGGTTGTTTTATTTAGAAAGTAGGAGGTCCTTTATCTTTAAATAGGCTTTTGGGGGGGGAAATCTATTCTCCATACCTGTTGACATAATTAAGTTCAGTTTCAATCATTAGCCTCATAGAGCATAGAAAATGCATGGGTTTGGAAGTCAGGCAGACTTGGGTTTTAGCCCCTCTTCCAGCTTTACTGTGTGACATTAGGAAAGCTGCTTAAACTCTCTGAGCCTCAGTTTCCCTACTTGTAAAATACAGGTTGCTTTGAAGATGAGAAGGAATGTATGTAAAAGGTCTGGAGCACAGTAAGCCTTTGATCACAGATAACTTCTATAATTACTAATATTACTTAAAACAGCATGCAGGTTTTATTTTTCTGTTTTTGTTTTTTTAAATATATTTTTATTGATTTCAGAGAGGAAGGAAAAGGGAGAGAGAGAGAAACATCAATTATGAGAGAGAATCATTGATCAGCTTCCTCCTGCATGCCCCCTTACTGGGCATCAAGCCTGCAATCTAGGCATATGCCCTTAACTAGAATCGAACCCAGGACCCTTAAGTCCACAAGCTGATGCTCTAGCCACTGAACCAAACCAGCTCGAGCTTAATGGGACTTAATGAGGTATGTCCAGGCTGTGAGAAAAATCCTATATAATAAAAGCCTAATGTGCTAAGTGTCTGGTCATCCATTCAACCAATCAAAGTGTAATATCATTAATGTGCTAAGGCCACTCAACTGCCCCCTATGACGTGAACTAACAACCAGAGGACAGATGCTTCAACCAGTAGGTTAGCTTGCTGCTGGAGTCCAGCCGATTAGGACTGAGCAAGACAGGCCAGACATACACTGTAGCCCTCCCACAGTCCCTCCCCGACTGGCCAACCTCCTGCATCCCTCCACAGTTCCCATCATGCACAGTGGGGTCCCTTGGGCTGACCTATGACCTCTCACAATCTGGGTTGAGGGACCCCCTCCAAGTGCACGAATTTCTTGCACTGGGCCTCTACTAAATAAATAAAGCATGGAAACGGGCAAGTGAAGACTATAGTTCTGCTTTCCTGGAGTCCTTACAAAGAAGAGCAGTTCCCCAGGAAGATTAGGCAGTTACTGAACAGTAGACATTCACCAGCCATAAGAGCAGGCACAGGCCAGGACCCCATGATGAGTCAAGGTCCCTTCCAGCCCACTGAGGAAGCAGAGGGACCTCAGGACTTGAACTGAGATGTCATCACAACTTCATAACCAGAGACAAATGCTTCAAGATGCATGGCCTTATTCTTAAGTCCATTAAAATGTGGTTCCAACCCCACAGCCCAGCTCTAACGCTGGTCAGTACAGCCTATCTATTCAGATTCTCTGCCCAGATCACACTTCTGACAAATGAGGACTCCACTAGGAAAGTGTAGCAAAGAAAAAGAAAAGAAGAAAAGCTTTGGAGCTCCAAGAAGAAAATAAACACAATAAATGCCACTGGTGAGACAAAGTAAAAAAAATAAATAAATAAAAATAAAAATAAAAGGAAAGTATACTTGAATAACTAAAGACAATAGGGTTGGTTGGGCCCTGGGCAAATACAGTTGCATCTAGAGCAGAAATTTTTAACTGCTGTTCATAGACCTTTTCGAGAATCTGAAGGAAGCTGTAGACCTCTCCCTGGAAAAATGCATACCTGCTCATCCGCACATGATATTACTTACAATATTTGGAAACACACGAAACCAATGATGTCCATCCCTGGACTCGGAGTTAAAGATCTCCAATACCCTAAGCTTCTTTCTGAAGGGCCAGCTTCTATTTTGAGCTTTAATCACTAACAAGGTCCGCAATATGCCCAGAGAGCCAGCCCAGGGAGGGAGGCAACAGGAAACAGCTCCCGGCACCTTCTGTAACCTGAACATGGACTAGAAACTCATTGTGAGGAAGAGGACCATCTCTCTGAACTGAAAGGAATAGGGATTCGTTCTCTATTTTGAAAACAAAGGCTTTTGTCTTATTTTTAACAAAGAGCCCTCGAGGGGGAAGGCATCTGGCCTGGAGTCCATATGCCTGAGTTCTCACATAGCTGTGTCACTAACTAGTTGCCTGACCTAAAACATATTACTCAATTTTGGCATCTGCAAACTGGAAATTTAAGTGGCTTTTACTTTATTCAATAGATGGGACCTTAAAAATTTCTGAAGTAAATAAAATTATATAGAAATCTAAAAGCTTTTACCTATATGATAAATATCTCATAAAAAAGAACTTCCATAAATCATTTTGTAAAGGAAATAATCACTGATTTTTAGCATAAATCTGTTTTCTAATATGTGCTTGCTATGTAGTTCATGAATGATTAAATATAAAACTAGTTCATCTGAAAACTCTTGCAGAGAAAATAGCAAAGATAACTCCTAACAATTTATGTCATTCCAATGTAAAGAAATGCCCTCAATTTGGAAAATGTCTTAACACTAAAGTGAATAGTGTCACAAAGCCTACACACTTTATGAGACATGCATATCACATTTGCTGTTTCAGTGTGGTTTGTGTAAAGTGAAATTTTCTGATCGAATAACCTTAGATCAATCTGGTTTCCCTGGCAATTTTAGTTCTCTCTTAACTCTGTGGATAACAGATTTTCATTTTAGAAAGGAGGTATTTAGAGAGAAGACAGAATTAACTAGAAAAATACCATAGTCTCCAAGGCCATTTACAATAGGAGCAAATAGTTCCATAAACGTCAACAGTTCCTTAGAGTTTCACTATATAACCATCTAGTTAATGGTGATGTTAGCGCACCCAGAGAGGTGCTGCTCTATAAACTCTCTTTATTAAAACAGAAACATCTCATGTTTTCATATTAATCATTTCAGAAAAATGGTTAATTTTTTAACAACGTTTTACCTCTTAAAAGTAATAATTATGTGAAAAATTTTATTTGCCCACAATTCCTTATTTCCTGATAATGAAAAATAGATGAGATATCACTGAAGGTTCTCCAACCACATATAAATACTTAACAGAAAATATAATCTTTTGATGATAGTAAATCACCATAAAATTTGTTTTAAGTGCCTGGATTACCAAGTATGATCTAGAGGAGGAAACACCATGAGGGACTTGATCTGGTAATTTAATTTAGAGTGTTTTACCAACCAATCTAGATAATTCAGCCTTTAGAGGGCAGCTTTTTCACTCCTGGATCAGCTGTCTATTTGTCTTTGCACAGAGATATGCAAGTGTTTTCCAAAAAAGCAGGAGCCACTGGGTTGTGGTTGGAATAATGTCACTATAAAATAAGTCTTAATAAGACTCTTTCCTAATTCTTACCTGTTTCTTCCAGAATCTCTGAATCCTTTAGCAAAAGGGTTCCGGTCAATTTTTAATCTGGTGATCTGGAAACAAACAAAGAAGCATGAACTGTATTTTCATTAATGAACTTCCTTTTTGGCTGCTCCTAGAAAAATAACAAAAGTAATTTTGTTAATAACAGTTAGTGTTTTTATTTCATTTCCTTTTAGTTGGAGCTTTAAATGAAGTTGATATAGAACTAGAGCCTGGCACACAGATGTCTGACCCACCTGACCCTCTTCTCCCTAAAAAACAAGGTTTTCCCAGTATGACTCCATAAACTCTTTTCCATTCACCTTTGTTGCCCCAAAATGGTGATAAAGGTATTGAAATGGAAAACTGGATCCATGGTACGTGATACACAGAAGGCCCCTAAAAAGTGGTTATTGAATGAGTGAGTAAATGAATAAGTGAGCAAGTGAATGAATAATGAATGAATGCATTCAGCCAAGCCAATCAGGAGGAATCACCAAGACAACCTGCCCCATGTGAAGGATCCAAATAATTGGCTGCATTACCCATTTTACTTAAGTGGTGTCTTCCAGCCACTAGGGATTGTTCCTTTGATGATCTGTAATGGTCTCATAAAAGACACAATAAGTAGCTATTCTTTTGTCAGGCTGCACCCAAAGGAAAATTTAAAAACACGTGACTTCAGGGGGCAGAATACAACATATATTATTCAATCTCCAAGGCTTACAAGAGAATTGGAAGAAATAGATTCATAAGGCTGAGCACACCCAATAAAACAACCATCTGACCCAGCTTGAACAAGTCCTTAGGAGCTATCTGGTCAACCTCCACTCAGTGCATAAGCTCCTCTCTATTGTATCCTATCCTAGTTCTATAGGTTTATGTGGTGGTTGTATGTGTTGTTCCCGTGCCTCTAGACTAGAACAAGCCTGACCAAAAAATCCCATATGTGCTCTAGTGTTTCTGCTTTTAGCCTTGGTCATGGGACGTATTTCGATACCTTCATGTCTGAACCAGATGTGAATGGCTTTCTACATTCAAACAATAAAGACTAAGGAGTGAGGGAGGAACCCAGGAAAGGAGGGAAGGCATGCTCAATGGAAAGTCATTCTAGAAATAAGAGAGTCTCATTATTTGATATCATCTTTTTCTGATAATTGCAGAACTTATCACTGGGATGGTTCAAATTCTTTCCAATGTTGCAAATCTATTCAAGACCCCCTTCCATCAGAGCAGAATTTCTCAAAGCCACAGTCTTTAAAGGTCTTTAAAATGCAATGTGAGACTCTGATGAAAAAAACTTGAAAGTACCTGTTATTTTCCCCCCTCAACGTTCCTTGCCTCTAGAATGACATACTAATAATGTAGCACTAAAAATACAGCAAAGGCAATTTTACATGCATTTTAAAGACCAGAGCAGGAGCCTGGCGCTTCGGCTTTCCAACGTCCACTGTCTGCCCTATGAATGCTGAATTGAGTTTAAAGACTGTCACTGCATTCTGCTCTTGACTTAAAATCAGTTATTTCTTCCTCCATAATCCACAGCCATAAACCACACACCATATTTTCTTTTCAAGTCAGGGTTATAATATTTTATTTTCTCTTTCAAGTTGGCTTATCCTGTTCGACCCATTTATGATAGGGGTTTATGATATATGATTGTGCTGCTGTGTTTCGGGGACCTCCACAGACCTTTGTAAATATAACGACATTCTATTTCATGGGCCTGGTAGAAAACCTGTTTCCCACAATTCACTGGATCTCAGGCCAAGGGGCCTGTATAGAAGTTTAATAGACAAACGCCACCAAATGTTAGGGAAAACAACGTCTCTGTACTTGTTTCAAAGTTTTTAATGAGAACTTCATGGAGAGTGTGGCTGTGCCACTTATTACTGATTTATTACCAAGTGCCTTTTGTGTGCAAAGCACCATGACAGGTAGCACAGGTGGCAGAATGGTGGACAGTCAGTACATGGCTGTTCCTGCCTTTCCTTCCAACCCAAGGAGCTTATAATCTAGGAAAGAAGACATGTGCACTAACAATTACAATGTAAAACAGAAAGTGATTAGGTTTGCCGTAAAGCTAGAGTGCTGGGTGTGCTTAGAGAATGTAGGGATTATTCCAAGTTGAAATGCTCTGAGGTCTTAGGAGATAGCATGTGGGAATGCATTTGAGTAGTTCATTTTCAACCCTATTCCATCATAACATGTATCAATTAGACCCTAATATGGTTGTCTGTCTGTATCACCCCACCTTAGACCAGATCACCATCATCTATTGACTAAACTGCTCTAACCTTCAGATTGATCTTCCTTCTTTCCCTCTTGTCCCTGTCCAATCTCTTCTCTAAACAGCGACTCCCACTGTACTCCATACCTGGCCCCACCCACACTCCTCCATCCCTGGTTCATGGGCTCGAGCCCACTGAGCTACTCTCAGTGTTGGAATGTGCCAAACATTTCCTGCTCAGACCCCTCACATTCTATCTTCAGACAAAATGTGCTCCTTTCTTTATTCTTCACATAAGCTACTTCCTCCTCCTCCTTCCCCTCCGCCTCCTAAGTCTCACTCTACTGTCATCTCATGAGAGAGGTCTTCCTGGATCACTCCTACAAAATAGCATCCTTCCTCTCTCTTTTTAAAAATATATTTTTATTGATTTTGGAGAGGAAGGGAGAGGGAGAAACATCAATGATGAGAGAGAATCATTGATTGGCTGCCTCCATGCCCCCCACTGAGGATTGAGCCCGCCATTTGGACATGTGCCCTTGACCAGAATCGATACTCTACAAGCAGATGCTCTATCCACTGAGCCAAACTGGCTAGGGCCTGCTATCCTCTTTAACTGCACCCTCTTTAATTCAGTCTTTAGTCTTAACCTAGTTGGCAGATAGTATACATTTATTTTTCACATGTTTCTCCCCCTGCTCTATGGGTAAGAACCCTATCTATTTTACATACCATTTTCTTAAGCAAGATCTAATATGACATGCTATTCATGCTCAGTAAAATATTTGTTCAATGAGTGAATATGAGAGGGAGGAAGTGGGGAGGGAATGAGAGAGGAAGGGGAAGAGTGAGGGAGGGTAGTAATGGTGTGGGAAACAGAGATCACCAGTCCCAAAGCCATAACAAGCCTTAAAAACTACAAAGCAAACAGTTCCCTCAATCCTATTTGCTTTCACTGTAGGCATTACAGACAAAAGTCTTAAATGTTCTTCCAGTGAGAACAAGATCCATTAGTAGCTTCCCAGGCAGCCAAAGCTACTCTACAGGAGTTATATGCAAACTCGGTCCAACGATAATGAGGAGACATGGAAAATACAGAGGTTATGGAAGCATTTTTGTTCACTGATTTTATTTCCATAACCTTACACTGATTGGTGCAGTCTGAGCTATTGAAGGCTGAGGCACATGAGGGAGTGGTTGCTGGCCTGCCACCACTCATTTTAATCATTTTCACTGACTTTTTTTTTGCCTAGTAACATAGAGGCTATTAATAAATGAGATATACCTCACAACGCACAGTGCAAACATAAATAACACAACCTACAAAGTAAACTAAGTCTTGAGTATGGTTTTTACAGGATAGGGCCTGCCCTTATTAACACTCTCTTAATTTTGCTTATTTTTATCTACTGCTTGAAGTGTATTCCATTAGGATTTTTTTTTAAAACCTTAGCCTGTATGAAATAGAAAGTTCTACCCTTATTTGATTGGAAAGTTACGGTAAAACTGGCTCACTAGTTTAATATATAATGAGTGACTCAGAAATCCTATTGGATTTGCTTACACAAACCTGGCTGTGGTTGCAGACTTCCTGGTTCCTGCAGCCAATTCTCATCAAGAAATAAGACTGTGTTACCTGAGGAGAATGGGGCTGTATCTTTTTGGAAATCTAGTTTCCTGTTTGGGAAAATTTAAAAAAAAAAAAACCCTCAAGATTCAGCAGGCTTTTCCCCCTAGAGAAGACAGATTCTGTAATGGAAATTTCCTGCTAATTCCATGAGGACATGTTGGCATCAGCCTCTTCCAAGAAAACACATAAAGTGTGGAGTCACCTTTATTCCAACCTCTACCACCTTATTCTTCATGATGAGATTCTGGGCATGGGGTACCTTCATCTCTGCCACAGGCTGGACAAGTTGGCACACTGAGAGCAAATAGCAGTAATAATAACTTTAGTATGCTAGCAGCCCCGGGAGTCTATGGGTCAGTCCGAGGGGGGAGGGGGAGGAAGAAATGGGAAAAGGGGAAAGAAAAGCTTAAGATATTTCATGAAATAAACTCTTTCTTCACACTTTACTACTATAATATTTATATCCAAAAAAACAGAAATACAGATATATAAAGAAACTGGTAGTAGAATGGTGTTAACTAAACATTCAGCAATTTTCCAAGGAAATATTCAGAGCTCTGCACTATGGGATAGACACAGATGTCTTAGAATTATGGAGATGGAATTGTCCATCTTAATTAGTGGTTTTAGGGCTTTAAAATTCCATAGGCCAATTCTAATTCCCCCTTCCAGTATTTGAGATATCAACATTGATAGTCCAATTTTTTATTCTACCAAGTGAAGGGACTTAATGACTACTATCTCTTGCCATCATTATTTTAAAAAAAAAAAATCAATGACATTCTAGCATCAAAAAAGTTAAAAGGACAAAATAAAAATTGTAGAGTCTATTAAAATGAATGTTTACATGTATGAAAAGTCTCTATAACTGTCTCTTATTTTTCTCACCTTTCAATGGACCATAAAAACCTTCTCCATTGGCTGAGTACATAGAAGCACTGATTCAGACCAAACCACCAATTTGCAAATGAGAATACCGAGGTGGAGGGATTTGTCAAAAGCAGTGCAATCCACTGCTGGGTCTAGTACCATACTCTTAACTACCAACCTGGTGTTTTTTACCATGTCGCACAGTTTTTTGTAGAACGTTCAACCTTTGTTTTTAAAATGCTTAAAATATTGAGAGGAAGACTGAACAAGCACACCCAGGTTAGCAAGTGAGGTACACTCACTAACAGTTCCATGAGGGAAAGCTCATTTGCAGCTGAAAACGTAAGGAAGGTGATGGGGAATAGTATTGGACCAAACTTGAAGAATAGAAGGACTCTAGACAGATAAAGATGAAGGGGGTGCACATTTCTGCAAAGACAAGAAGGTAGGCAAAAGTAAGGAGGCTACAAAGTACAAATAGTAAAATTCTAATTAGATTGCTGAACTCCTGTGGCTGCTTAATGAGGATTAATTAAAAATAAGCTTAGAAATGTAGTTGATAATTGGCCACAGAGGACCTTAATTGAAAGACTTGGACTCCTGGACTTTGTTCACAAGGCACTGAGGAGTCATTGGCAATTTCTGAAACAGAAATGATGCAGTGAGAGCTGTGCTTTTGGAGATCCATCCGGCAATGAGACATTGAGCTTGCAGTCCAGGTGACTCTGCCGGATGCTATCACAACACCCCAAGGTTGGAGGAAAAGGGGCAGGTCCAGAACAAGGGCAGACGCAGTGAGATTAAAAAGAAAATATTGCACCCATAGAAGCATCAGAGTTTAATGGTAGGTTGGATGTGGGAGAGTCAGGTGTCCAGCCTGGATGACGAGATGGAAGTCGATAGAAAGCATTGTTAACAAATGAATAGTGCAGTTACAGTGTTTTGTTTACCAGGAACAAAACATGTTCCTGCCTCTCAAGGACAGACTTGCTAAAACTACACTGGCCTAGAATATTGTGAGGGTTTAAACAAGTTTACACACGTGAACATTCATAATTTTTAATACTTGAAAATCATGTCTATTGCTTCTGTCTGATAATGATAAATTGTTCCCAATCCTCATTAAAAAGCATGCAGGGGAAAAGGAGGGAGAAGTTATAAATTCAGAGCTAACAGAAACCTTAGAAAGCATAAACCAACTGCTCATTTTCTTGAAGAAGAAATTAAAGTCCAGAAAGACACAGAGCCCAGTGACACAGATCACTAGCGGGAAATTTAGGACTAAAGACCAGGTCTCCAAATGTCCAGCCCATCGTTTTCTGTGGACAAGACTCCTCCCTTGGGAAACTGGGTAACATTTCATTTGAATTCTGTTCTCTCTTCTGCTTTCCTCATTGTGTTACTGCAAACATGCTCCTGAGAACAAGGAACCTACCACTGTTTTTTTCTTTCTCTTCTTCTTCTTCTCTACTCTGATAGGCTTCCTAACCATTCCCTTAAAAAGAAATATAAGGACTAAACAATTTGGCTATTAAATATTAATTGTTCTCATTCTGGAAGGTTGAGGGCAATAAAAACACAGTAATAGGTACATATAGCTCACAAAAGAGAGCAAGTAATGCTACCCAGCATCTTCAAGACAAGTCTGAAAATTATTGTTCGCTCACAGCTCTGACTTACAGGATACAGACCTCAAGATTCCTGGGGAAAAGAGCTGAGGTTAGTTTGCTTTATTGTAAGTCACTGCATTATATTAAATCATATCTATGAAGCCGACGGGAATGTTAAACAATCGTGCTTGTTGATTTATCCAGGGACTGGAGGCTTGTTAAACAGGCAAAAGCTGTTATCTTGACTTCAAAATAGGCAGAATTGAGTGTGACTCATCTGTTTTGAATGTCAGCACATCATGAATTCACCAACATGACACGAGAACAGAGAGATCAAAGTAGTTACCTGTTGATTATAATACCTTCAAGAGCCAAGGCATCTCTTCCAATTCCCAACAATCCCCTTTCTCCTTAATGAGCAATTTATTCCTTTTAAATTCTATTCAAGAATATGTTTTTTATTGATTGTAGAGAGGAGGAAGAGTAGAGGAAAGGGGGTGGGGGGGACCAGAACATGGCCCAACTGGAAATCAAACCTGAAACCTGAGCATGTGCCTTGACCAGGAATTGAGCTGCTGTCTTTCAGTGCATGAGATGATACTCCAAACTACTGAGCCACACTGGTCAGGGCTGAGCAATTTATTCTTTAAAATGGCTTCTATTTTCCCATGTTCCTTTATGTCTATGGACCCAGTCATTTAGCAATGTCTGACTGCCATTAATTGGACACCAGATTTGTGTCAGTGACTTTAGACATGTTACCTCTTCTAGTCCACGTAGCACTGTGACACTAGAACATCTTCAGACCAGGAAACACAGGTTAAAAAGGGGTAAGAAAGGTGTTCAAGGCCATACAGTTCATCAGTAGAAAAATCATAAATCAAATCAGATAAGTCTGCTGTCAAATCTCATTATCTTAATTATGGTTTCCCACCCCTTCAAAACACTACAGTCCTGATATAAACAAAATATGTATGCAGTGAGAATGTACTCAGACACAGGACAATGCCTATGAGAGAAGTCTGAGGAAGAGAAAGGGATTTCAGGTCCCGTGTTCAGTTTCCTTTCATTGTCACAGTGATCTGTGACTTTCTAAGTTCAGCCTGAGTTACAATAGTGACCCTCCTGGTCTCCAGAACTGATCTCAATGAGTTCATTCATCAGTGTCCACTAAATATTTATGGCATGAATGGACATACTACTGACATGAAAACATACAGATCTTGGGGTGTAGCTGCAATCACAGATAAGTAAATTTCCTCTGAAAGTGTAAGTGAAGCCATGGGTCTTAAATGGAATTTCAGACACCTGTTGCCTCTAGTGTAGCCAGGTGCTGGGATACGTGGAAAAGTGCAGATAAGAGGAAAGGAATGGATCAAACCTCAGAACTTGCAAATGAGAAACACTTGCCAGGCTGTGGTAGAGATTATGAACATGGGTTACACGCACAGAGAGACATGAAGATAACTTAGGTTTGCTCCTCCTGGGCAAAGATCTGGTCTCTGATCTAAATCGAGACCATGCCAGCTGCTCCTAGGCATTCCTGCCTTGTCATCACGGGTGCCTTATCTGCCCTGCAAGCCTGCTGTCTCTCATTCCATGCTCCTCAGTGCCATGTGGAAGGACGAAGCCTTTCTTACCAAAAGCCTGAATAAGCTCTTTTAAAAGGAGATGCCGCCAGAAACTCTCAAGGCAGCCTCTTACCTGCTGGTTCTGATAGGCTGTGACCGTGGTGAACACGGTTTCAGGAAAGTTGAACGTTTTCACTCCGTCCCCAACAGGAACAGGCTTGGTGGGTGAAAGGTCGCTGCTGAAATCCTTGCGAATCACATGAACTCGAGGCTGGTATTTGTGCATGGAGTGCAGAATGATCTGGAATGAGGGGGGAAAAAACATTAAGACAGGGTTGGCTCTGAAGTCCCTACATCTTTTCAAGCTCTCATGCAAATAAAATCATAGAGTAGAAGCATTTTAGAAAGAGTATATATTGGGAGTGGGATGTACGGGAAACCAGAAATCAGGGGGCGGGATGTATAAGAAACCAGAAGTCAGTATACTTGCCCACCACAGGCAGGACTACGTGATTAAAGAGCATCATATGGAACCATATAGCAAATCATCCCAATCATGGGCGGTGGATGCGATACGTTTGCTTTAACTGGGCAAATGCTGAATGATGTTCCGGCACCAGCAGACGTCACTCCACTAAAAGGTCCCAGACCTCTGCCACATGACGGTGGTTCCCTCCTGCTTCAAATTTGCAACATGGGCTCATGCTGTCTTTATATTCTACAAGCTATTATTTGCACTTTGTTGCTGAATTTATAGACATTCTCTTTTGTCATGTGAGAGTGAGTAGTGTGCAAGTACATTCTCCCTTCCTCAGAAAATCGTCACTTCCTGCAAGATGGGAGCCATGGTTTTAGCTTCTCCAATCTTCTCATAGCACCCAATCTGGATCATGGCATTCAGTGAAAATTCAGTATATGTTTTACTGCAGAAAGTAGATTGACAGCATCAGGTGATCTAATTATACTTGGAAAGCATTAGGGCCTGTTCTTCTCTGAGAAATTCAGCCAGAATTTATAAATTCTTCCCTCAACAATCAGCCAAAACGATAGTTGTTACGAATGTTGTGATTTTATTTCACCTTTTTTTTTATTTGTCCTGTGTTTCTGTGTCAGAATTCTCCCCTGACTAGACTGTGAGTCCTGGAGCACAAGACTTCTGTCTGATAAACACAACCTGATGCATAGCAGACGTTTGCTAAATGTTAGGTTTGTAATAAATGAAATGTCACAGGAATAAAAAAAAAAAAACTTTATGCTTATTTTCTTAAGATGACTTACAGTGGCATGGAGATTCTTATTTTCCCTGTTTGTAAAAGCCTGGGGCTAGTTGGCTCTAAAGCAAAAAGGGGAACTGCAGGGAGAAGGAAGAGGGAGATGGGGTTCTTTGACTCACATGTCCTTGATCATCCAGTTCATTGTTGGTCAGCTTGAGTTTGTCGAAACTGACCACCTGTCTCATCCAAGTGTCTCCGGAAGCTAGAGAATCAGGATGTATATAAACTCTTGGTGGCACAGGGGAGTCAGCGTTTCCAGCCACCATCCACTTGGAGCTATGATACACGTATCTGAGAGAGCGAGAGAGGAGAATTCAGAGACGTATGCAAAGAGGGAATAGAAGGTTCAGAAAGCAAAGAGATGACAAGAATGGAGAAGAAGTGCACAAAGGAGAAAAAGAAAAGGAATGATAAGGAGAAAAGGAGAATGAGATGGGGTGGGGTGGGGGAGAGCAAAAAGGTGTGGTTAATGATCAAAGCTGCAGCTCTCACAAGAAAAACATTCTCACAGCCCTTTTTCTTTCTTCTTCCTCTCCTGGCTTTGCACCCCTGTGTGCACACAGGCATCCTGAACCCACGTGCCTAGCTATGGAAAAGGTATTTTACTGCAACCTTTCACCTTCCAAATGCAAACCATATAATCTGTTGGCCACTTGTTCAGGATTTGGTTCCTTATTAAAAACATCTTCCATATCGTCCTATAAAACACAGCCATGTGCAGAGACCCTCCAAGCAGCTCACTTGTTAACCATTTCCTTGCCAGAGATCTCTATTTTGAGGCATTTCTAGGAAAATGGAGAGCCTTTGCCTTAGTGCATCCATCCCCAGAAACAACCCCAAGTCTTCCCAGTGTTTTCTTTGATGAACTCCATCTTGAACGTCATCATCTCCCACATTATTTTCCCACAAAGCCACTGGAAATGAGATGTTGTTGGTAGCAAAGAAGGTCAGTTTTTCAGACTTTGCCAATTGCCCTATAGTTCTGAAGGCTACTCTCCATGGATCTGACACTTTCTGTTTCTTAGTAAAGGAGCTGGGGGCCTTGGGTCCTGCAAACAGAGGCGCTGAGTCCAAATCTCTACTCCCAAGATCCTCTAAAAAGATCAGAAACCTTTCCCTTCTTAAGCCATACACTCAAGACCACTTCTCTCTGGGCCAGCTCTCTCACCCACCACACTAGTCCTAGTCTTCACCACTCCCCTCTCTCCTCCAAATTCATGGATTCAGTGCCAATTACTCAGTCATTTCAAAAATCAGCCATGATTCACTGGTTGGATTGAGATCTCAAGAGATCAAGTAAGCCCCAACTTGTTTCAAACAAGAACTCCATGTGAGCCACCCAAGAGCCATGGAGACTATGTTGGCTTTCCATAATTTTGAAGGAAAAATATTTAGCAAACACATTCACAATCCATATCAATGAATTATAACTCTAAATGTTCTTCTTAAGGTCTCACCTAATTCTCCTATTCTTTTCCTTCACCATCCACAGGGTGATCTATCAAATATATGATTGAATGTACTGTACAGGTCTACTTCCCTTTCTCCTCTTCAAAATCAATCATTTTACCTCAGCATTTCATAAACCAAAGCATTCAATATGTTAATTACTTTCAATGTTAACAGAAGTAATTTTAGACTTAATTTCATTGGATTTTTGCTACCCTGGCAGACTATATACAATCCTATTCTCTCCAGAGATGCAGTGAGGATGAATTCCAGACCCAGCCATTACTGAGTCCTGATTTCCTGCCTCTAGCGACTCCTTCCTGCCTGGTGCTCTGCCACAGGCCATTGGCATATTCTCCATCCTTATTCCCTGTACAGAGCATTATACAGTACACTATTAAAATGCTTCATCAAATGAGTTTAAAGAATAGTTCTGGAATTTTAGTGATACCCAAAATTCCACATTTCAGAGTCATTCATTTACCTGTATCTCTTATTGTCCACAGGCACAATGTCCATTGCTATGTAGTATTGCTGGTGTGGATCCAGACCAGTGATTTTCACTCTCATGGCAGGAAACATCCTCCTATGAAGGAGAATAAAATAGGAAGCCGAGCAATCAAAGGGGAAGAAACAGCAGAAGTAAAAGTTCAGAAAGTCTCTTCTCATTAAGCACTTTAAGAATGCCAAAGTTCAGTGTCCTCTAATTCTCAAAGTTAGCTTATTTTTTTTCACTTTGAGAATGATCACTATAGAATATGCTGATGACTTATATTGTTGAAATAGTGCCTCTTCTTAACTTACATTGACCTATTTGATGATTCATATACACAAAGGGCGTATACATAATTGTAATTAGATAAATGGATGATGTGTATGAATCCACACATACGTTTCTTATTAGGGTATAACATTCTTGAATATACTTATATGCTTATCATACTTGAATAATTTATAATCATCTTACTCTCCAAGTAGCTTATCACAACTGTTTGTTGCTGATCATAAAATATTTCTGATTGGTTGAGTCTATTTGAAAGTGACCACTCTAAAAATAATGTCTTAAGAAAAAAAAAAAAAAAGGAAGGTGCTACCATTCCCAAACAAAGGGCCACCAAAGTGTTTTTTTAATGGGTAAAATGTAGAAAAATTTCTGCAAGTTCTCAGGCTGTCAACATGTGTGTCATGAGAAAGACCCTGTGGAATAGGGAGCAAATACCAAATGAATTCTAGTGGCCTCTGGGCAATACCTCGTTTCTACCACAATGGCTTGTTAAACTTGCCAAAGCAAGCGAGGTCAGGATATGGCACTTTACAACTACTCTCATAATTGAAGAGGGAGCAACCCAAAGAGGTATTGTGTTTCAAGGAGTCTAGAATAAAATTCACCATTCTTCCTTAACCATAAGAAAGAAGAAAAACATCGAGCTCTTTTTGTATGTCATTCATTTAGGAGCCAGACATAAAAAGTGCTCGGTTCAAAAAGTTGAATTGCCTGAATGTTCTGTAGGGTACTTGTACACAAAATGCTACATTAAGTTTAACCATCTGGGGCCATTTAGTCGAGCTGGGCAGAGCACAGTGCTAATGAGGTCAAGGTCACAGGTTTGATCCACATACAGCCTAATTGGCTTTGCTTCATTTCACGGCCATAGACCATACTTTGGCCCCAGACAGCCATCTTGCAAATGTGCACTGGTTGTTTATATGAGGGGTTTTCTAGTTACACAATCCAACAAAAGCAACTCAAAAAGCAAATGTCTACTGTATGAGGTCAGTGACATCATAATCATATTTGGGGAAAGCATAAGAGAGACCATAGTCTTTCTAACAGGGATGATGGCTAATTCTTAAGTATTTTCAAAGAATATGTATATAACTGTTCCTTCTTTCCCACTTGATAATTTTTCAGAAGCTTCTATTGGTATAGTTAGATTTTCTCCCTCTGCCCTCACAAGTTTAATTAAGAAGCCCTATGTTTTAGTATTATAGTGCACTAATGAATTTTGATGGTGGGCTACTCATAATGACTAAATGTAACATCTGTTAGGCACCTTGATCCACACTAATTCCAAAAATTTGAGAACCTTGGTTATATATTTAAATATAGATTAGTAATTTCTTTTTTAATAACAATGACTTAGAACTATCCTATATGTATAAGTGCTGGAGAGCATCTTGCCAGAGATAGAGAGGAAGTCCTCTCACTTGCTAATAACTGTGATAAGAAAATGTGGTTTCTTTCAGCCACCTATAGAAATGTGTTACATTGAAAAAGATTAACTTATTTTCTGGTTATTTCAAGAAAAGGGATAAATTGTTTTTAAACTGATTAACTATTTATCAGGAACATTTTATATGACCTAAAGTAGAAAAGCTACCTGTAACTCTAGCTGGTTTGGCTCTGTGGATAGAGCACCTGCCTGCAGACTGAAGGGTATTGGGTTTTATTCCAGTCAAGGGCACATGCCCAGGTTGCAGGTTCAATCCCCAGTAAGGAGCCTGCAGAAGGCAGCCAGTCAATGATGAATGAGCTGGGTGCCTTTGGATAAGTCCTTTAACCTCATACCTTCTTACACAAATGAAAGGAACTATATCATCTCCAAAGTGCCCTCTTGCTTCAAAACTCTATGACTATATTTTAATTATCTTCTTAAAAATGTATCAAAGGTTGCTTTTTCTTTTTGTCAGCATTTTAGCACAGAATACCAAGTGAAGTCATAATACCCTAGAGAAAAAATAACCTTTCAGATTTACAAAGTAAGAAGTGTTTGGTTTGATTTTTAAGACAAAATTTAGGCCAAATCTTTTGTCTTCTAAAGCCATTAATCCCTACACACACCTCTGTCCATGGTGCTGATCACACAGATTATGTTGCTTTGTTCAAAGTATGAGAGCTTTGTAGACAACAGTGGTTCTAAATGACATGATTACAGTTTGGGTGTGAGGAGTAGATGGTAACTAAGCCCTCCTGAGCAGGAAAAATAAAAGAGGGTTATACATAACTAACATTAAGTAAGAAAATGGAAACTGAAATGAAAATTGAAAAGGAGACTACACAGGAAAAAAAAGGAAGTGAAAAGGAAGGAAACAACTGTGGGAATGGGGAGGGAGGGAACAAAGTTCACAGAAGAGAAAGCCTTCTTTGCAACTCCTGAAGCAATGTGATACAGAAGCAATGAATGTAATTTCTAACCCTAAACAAAGGGGTATGACTAAAGAACAAGCTGGATGTCTGTCCTGTGGTTATCCACACAGATTCAAGAATCAAAGTCAATCTGCGAAGATAGAAGAAATCACAAAAGGAGGTCACAGAAGAGTTGTCAATGAGCTCTGCAGATGAACTGAATTCAATGAAGTATTGAGAACAAAAATAGCCAAATGGCGCAGACCCAATAGTAGCAAGTGAAAATCTAAGACAAAAACTAGAAAATCTTATAGACAAAAAAAAAAAAAGTAATTTCCATCTCTCTCCAAACCAAGCCTCTTGCTCAAAACTAAGAAAAAGAATAAACACTTTTTCCTGGAATTGTTCTATTTTTTCCATGCCATAACATCTCAAAATGTAGAACTGAAACCCAAGCAACAAAAAGGAGATGGTATGGAAAGTAATTCTCCTTCAAAGTTGTGCCTCCTAAGAAGCGTTTTTAATAGTTTTATTCACTGCTAAAACTTAAAGAAGGAAAACTTAGTTCTAGAAGAGAAAGAAAATGAACAATATTTCAGGTTTGTTTTAACCTCATGTTTTTGTGGTGTTTTATTATACTTGGAGGTTTCTCTATATTCATTTAAGTTAACTGAACCCAAAGTTCTTTTACTTTAAATGTCCATGTTGATAAAGACAGCTTTTGATCAATGAGGTAGGTCTTTTTGGTCACCAGGATGTGAGATTGCATACAATGGCTTGGAAAATATGAAAGCAGCAGTGAAGTATCACTATGTACTCAATAAGTGTAGCCCCAATTTATCTTTATTTAAATCATTTTCATTCTGAATCCAAGGGGTAAGAACTACAACCATTTCTTAACAGTGCAGAGTTATAAATAGTTGAGACCATTGTTTTAGAGCCGGGCAGAGTTGTGTAGAATTCTGCAGCTGTCCATTATTGCCCATGTGGCTATAGTCAAGGTAGTTAATCTCTTTCGGCCTTCACATCCTCATCCATATTTGGAATTATCATATCTGACCTCATAGAATCCCTTTGAATTTTAAATAATGTAGTGTACATTGAGTATCCAGCACAAATAGATAACTAACAAAACAGTTTCTTTCAAGAAAACTGAAAGATACCAATGAAGGAGTAGCTTCGTGTGTTTTCAAGAGAAGTTATGTCTTAAAAACTTTTATTATCCTACATGAATATTTGCAAGAGTTTCCACCAGGATGCATGAAAGTTTTGTAATACTTTCAATAAATACAATGGATTGACAGCAGGGTTCAGAAGATAGACCAAACCCAATTCGTACTAAAGCCAAAATTCTTACAGAAACATCTGGCTGCTTTCAAGGCCTTAGAAGATGCAAGCTGTTGCTCGGGGAGCAAACGTGTTCTGTTGAGAACGATGGATGGTGAAGAAACACTTGCTTTGGCAATCGGTTTGGCTGTTATGTGCCATGGGTCTCCAGTATTAACTGAAACGTGTAGGCAGAAATGTTTGTGAGGCTAGAGGTGATTTAGGTTTCTGTGGCCCTTGGAGAAAAATGGCAAAGTCACAGAAAACACATGATCACTTCACCAAGATGTCCAGATGCAAAAACATGAGTGCACATGACTTTGGCTTCACTGGTGCTACCTACCACCAATAAGTGAAAAGAAGGAATGGAATAGCTCCTCCTTTGACCTCATTCTTTAAACGTGGCCATTCAAAGGAACACGTCCTTACCTGCCCGCTTTGGTGATGATCATCTCAGTCCCAATGTCATGGAACCGCTTCCAAAGGTCAGCGCACTGCAGCTCCACCTGGATCTCCTCCATGGAGGCCATGGCAGCAGGCACAGGGCCTGCAGCACCCGGGCCCAGGTCAGCGTGCGTGTCAAAGGAGCAGGAAGTCCGCTCAGCCAGCACCTCCGAGTCTGAACCAGTGCTCTGCTCAGAATCTGCAAAACACACCATCAAGCCTGGGGTGAGAAATGCTGGACACCCTCAACACCCCGACCCTGAAAGATGGAGGCGGGGAGAGCGGCAGAGTGGAGAGGGGGAGAGGTGAACAAAGGGAGACTTGAAGCTGGGAAGCTCCAGAGCACAGCACTCAGGGTATTTTATTATTTTTTTTATGGTTTGTTTTTGTGATTTATGACCTTCTTTCAGGTTTCATGTTTCCAACATGACATCTGGCATTTTAGTAAGTTTTAGCAACAGCTGAAGAAAATTGGTCCACAACAGGCAATATAAAGAATACTAATGTCACCATGTTGAAGGGCTTGAAGCCAAGCTGGGACAACAGAGTACATAAAGGCCACATTTTAATAATAGTAATAACAACAACAACAACAACAACAGACTAGCTCCAAACCTAGTTTGGCCTCGTGCACTTCAGGAGGGGCGAGGGGAGTGTGGAGTTTCAATGCTAACAGCAACATGTTCTTGAATTCCAGCCTACTTGGCATCACTGCCCATCAGTCAATAACCAATAACTTTTAAACACAGCAATTCTCTCCTCCCCACCCTGTATATATCCTGGCCATCAAAAGTAATGAAATGTTGTTTGGGATATTTAGAAGCACTTTGTCCTATATCCAAGTATATGGCCTTTTCTAAGAGTTCAATCAGGCCATTTTGGATGAGAAAGGAAAAAAAAAATCCGTTGTGAGGCAAGGATGTAAGCATATGGAAAAAGTTACCCAAGAAGGCGGCTGAAACAAAGGGAATAAATGAGCTCAGGAGACACCTTGATTGGTTTCTGAAGTATGGGCAGAGGAGAGTGGTGAGCCAAACAGAAAAGTAGGATTGAGAGCAACCAAATAAAAAACTGGCATGCTGAGCCAGATGATCCTTTCCTTGTGTGTCTTCCATACCCATGGGCGAGGAGGGGGTGGCAAGTAGACTGATGGAGAAGGCCAGTGTCAGATTTACAAGAGAATTTTCTGTAAATTTTTTAACTGTTTTACTTTCAGGGGCCCAGTGCCAAGAACTGTATCTCTTAAGAATTTTTAAGCTCAGATTAGCTAGGACAATTTTCTTAGGCCAAATGATACTTCAAGCCAAATCTAAGAAGCTATTTCTCTAAGCCAACCTTAACATCTGATGGCTTCCCCCGGAAATAGGTACATACATAAAGGTTGGAAACAGCAGTGTGTTACCCTGGCACCTGACTTTGCCATGCTGTCAGAGGTTGTGATCTTTTGAGCATCAGTCCTTGACACCAGCAGGGTGGGGGAAAGATGGCCCAGAATGCCAGGCCACCTTGCTGCCATGTTCACTTACCTGTAGCGGGTTCTAGGCTTGGGAACAACCCAGCCCATGATACCTTTGATTTCCATTTCCTGTACCCTGGTGTGTTCTCTCTCAAACCCAGGCAGCATTTCTGGCAGGAATATCCCACAGCTTTGCCAAAGGCCACAGGGAATAAAGTGCCATCTCTCTGCATCCTCCTCAGTTCCTCACCCTTCATTGCCGAAGGCACTTGGGGGGCTGCAGAACTGAACCAAATTCCTAAATCACACAGAAGTCTCTGCCCAGGATTTTTAGTGTACCCACAATCACAATTCCAGTCACCATCTTTACAAAAAAAAAAAAAAAATTATGACTTAGTTTTACATGGCTAAGCATATAATTTTATTCCCTGCACTTAACAGGAGCTACTAATTTTTGTCTTCTTTAAGCACAGAAAAGTGAAGTTACTTATCTAAGACAAGAGTTGCTGTGGAGTGACAAATCTCTTTCCTAGCCCGGTCCTATATGCCTTCCTATAGCAGAGCCCTTAGGTCATCACCTACTTGGCCGAGCAAAGTCATTCTGATCCTCTGAGACATGGATTCCCAAAGCCCATTTTGTTTCTGTAATTTGCCAAGAGTTCCTCACTTACCATGAACATTGTAAATTTTTTCAAAAGCTTCTTGGCAAGATTTAATAGAAAAATAGCCTTGTCTTACTTTTGTTATGAAATCTCCTTGTCATAAGGGCTATCATTATGAAAAAGTTGGAAATAGACATCGTAAGTAGGGCCCAGTAGAAATCTTGGACATTTGATTTCTCTAATGTGTGTTTAGGAAAGGGGAGAGGAAGGAACAATATCGCTGCACTAAGTGATAAATATTTAATGGTAGCCAAATTGAGGTTGGGATTGAAACAGGGACTATGGCTGGAGAGTTAGGAAATAAGAGGCTCTACTCTTAACTCACCGTGTCATCTGGAATAAAATGGGTACTCAAATGTGACATTAAATGGATGAGTGGATAATCTTGGACAAGTTACTTAGCCACAACGGACCTATTTCCTCATCATGCCGTTAGAAGGATTGAAGTGAAAACTTTTCTAACCTCTTCTACCTCTGATGACTTGAAGAATTAAGAATCTTCTCTACTGTAACTTTTAGAGGAAATCTCAGATAGAAGCATCAAATTTAAAACTGTTTGGGCCAGATAAGTTAAATGAGGAAAAAGACTGGGGGCTCAAGTGTGCATCATCACAGGAGTTAAAGACTTGAATGGGTATTCTGTTTATAGTTTCAATCAAATCAATCAATAAGCACCTATCAGCATGTGGCCTTATATGAGGTACCATATAGATAATTTGAAACAGAATTCCAGACCTTGAGAAGTTTCCCAGTTAATGTTGATTAACTATGTGTTTATTGAGTGCTTACTATGTGCCCAGGACTGTGCTAGATTCTGGGAAATATCGAAGTATATAATGGGGCTTCTCTTAAAGGTACTTACTGTACAAGTGGAAACTGAGCACATCCACAGATAATTACAGACAAAGCCAAATGCTATCACACAGTTTTCCACACCATTATATACAGTCTCGTGTGTTATAGGAATCCAGAAGAGAGGGGTCTGAGAACAGTCCTGGGGAGCCCATGGTTACTGGAAAGAAATGGAAAGGTCTACGGAGGCATAGGTCACATTTGCCCATGAAGAGGATTTCCGGAGACATTCATTTGTTTCCGGGAAATATTTGGTGCTCCTAGATTCTCCATCCCCCACAAAAATAGAACCCAAGTGACTATTATATACAGAATACAGAAACTGGCCCACACTTGCAAGAACATGAAGGCACCATGTAATTTTTCATTTTCAACTGTTTCTTACATGTCATAATTTGGAAATAAAATCAATGTCATATTTTATATATATACACAGAGTATCCCCCAAAAAAGTATACATACTTTATCAGCCGATAGCTCAATTTTGAAAATAAAATGTATTTTAATAAACACTTCCTTTAAAATTATTCAATGTGTATATATACATTTTTGGGACACTGTATATATAAATTTTTAGAGTAGTTAGGGCTATCTGTGATATAAGCTACGTATAATACCCTTAAAATAGTAATCTCAGAGTCAAGATCTACAGCTTAGGTAAAAATAAAACTTACTTCTTTTTAAAATACATTTCTAAGTCATAGTTATGTGAAATAGGCTAATCAGATCAATTATTTCAGCTATTAATCAAAATGTATACTCGAGTTACCTAAGTCATGAACATAGGAAATGCATAACAGGTTATTTCAATCAAATCAGGCCTTCCATTCAGAAATATAATCAGTCCCTTGAAGATCAGAAAACACCTCTGTGTTTTCAAGTTCTTTTATCCCTGGCAATTTGTAACTTCCTGCCTTCAAAAAATAACCATTAGAAACTCATTTGAATGACCTGGAAAGACTTCTTGGCTATGAGATGTCTCCTGTGTACTTTAACAAGGGGAATTTCAGTAAATCGGGAGCATAAATGATAACATCGCACGTAACTAAGGAAGTTAGAGGAGGAAACTTAGGGGACCTGCACTGAGTCAGTTAAAAGTCACTGAAGAACACTCTGTGACTCATAGGGTCAAATCAACATATCTATTCCATCAAAAAAAAAATCCTTAGAGATTCTCACCATCAGTTCATAGTATTACTCACTTTCTATCTCTACCTATCTCCAGTGGATAAAATGGATACCCAATTCCCACAGAAAGTGGAGGTTAGCTTAGAGCAAGTTCAATTCTCAGTTTATGCAAAATATTGGCAATTATGAAATAGTTTCTTAATTTACATATTGTACATTATCTAATATGCCTTTCCATGTAATGAGGTAGCCGTGGCATATATTTTTATGTCCATTTGTGAATGAGAACATTGAATCTAAGAAAAATAGAAAACAATATAACTTAGAAGGTAGGCCTCTCCTGAAGGAATGATGTAGGATATGATATGATACCCTGGTGTCATTGTTGGAGATGGATGTTGGAAGACTACTATGGTCAGATAAGAGAAGTAAGAGCGCTGGCTGGTTTGGCTCAGTAGATAGAACGTCGGCCTTGTGTCTGAAGGGTCCCAGGTTTGATTCTGGTTAGGGGCACATGCCTGGGTTGTGGGCTCGATTCCCAGTAGGGGGTGTGCAAGAGGCAGCCAATCAATAATTCTTTCTCGTCGTTGACGTTTCTATCTCTCCTTTTCCCTCTCTGAAATCAATAAAAAATATATTTAGGAAAAAAGAGAGATGTAGATAAGAGATGCACATCTGAGATTAGGTGCACAGTGCCACTTCCATAATACTGCACCCCACCTGTCATATTTTACCCCGAGGAAGAAAATAGTTAGAAACAAAGGAGAAAGACACCCCCCACCCATATGATAAACAATTGTGGTGGTTTTGTTTGCGGTGTTTTCCTGCCAATAACTGGGACACGACTGTATTGAGTGGTAATTCCTATCTGATATTGGTAGGGCAACCATTCCTTGGTCTACTTCCCTAAGCCCCGAAGCTTCTAAAACTAACACTCTCACAGCCATCTCTGGGCTTCCCTTCACACCAGGGCAGACATCAGAAGCTTACACCCTGGGCAGTACTCTCTGTACCAGGCTCAAGTAAACTATTTCCAGAGGACCTCTGCAGTGGAAACTGGTTCTGGGATGTCAGATTTTATCAGGGAGCTTAGAGAAATCT